CACATATCCCCAAACTCATTCTTTTCACTCAATTTTTTCAGGGTGCATCCTANCTGCCATCCCCTACTCTCGCTTCCTCCCTATGTAGCCGTTAGTCTGCCGGGTTCGAAGTTGCTATCGGACTTGAAGATGAGGACGGCCCGAGATCTCCCATCCCTACTGATTTCATTACAAGGTCCCCAAATGTCCCGGTGAATTAGTTCAAAACATTCTTCTGTCTTACTGTGGCTAACATTAAATAGCAGTCTATGTTGCTTTGCTAAAGGGAAGATAGGACATTGATTTAAACTAGAAGATGCAGGAATGTAAATGCCTCTATTAGGACTGAAATTAGAATATGATGGATGTCCTAATCTGTAATGCCACAGAGTAGACTCCTTATTGCTTTTAGTGACAGACATAAAAGAAGAGGACAAGCATTTGAACTGGTTAAGGATTTCTGATAAGACTGAAGAAGGAACAGAATTCTTCACCGTGTGATACAATCCATCTTCACCTCACCCATTCCAATCATTCTCCAAGTCAAAAGGTCCTGGATATAACAGTGTTTAGCAAAGAAAATAAGACAGCAATTCAGAGACTGAGTTAGTTTCTTGGCTGAAATCAAATTAAAGGTGAAGCTAGGAATGCAAAGTACATCATGCAGAATAATGGATTCAGAGATTTTGACTGTTCCAACATGAGTGACTGGAACTTTTTCTCCATTTGGTAAAGTTACAGAGTAAATCAGTTTAGTTTGAATAGATGTAAAGGAAGAGGTAGAACAAATCATGTGGTCCGTTGCTCCAGTGTTTAGAATCCAAGGTGTTTTGAAAAAGTTTTCATGGCTATGATGAAAACAGTTAAACTTAGTGGCATACCAGATAACTTATGATTGAACTCATCTGATGGGGAGGAATTGACAAACGTCTGAGTGTTGTTGGATGATGAGGATAGCTGTTGTGGGTTTGTTGCTGGTCTGAGGAGTGCCATCAGGTGTGAGTATTACTCTTGACTCAATGTTACTTGGCTTTTGTCCTTCACTACCTTCTGATTAGATATAGAACCTGCAAAAACCATGTGAACAGATGACTTTCCTTTGTCACTGAACTCATGCTCAGGTGGAAATCCATTAAGTTTGTAGCATTTTGTCTGCAGAGTGTCCTGGCATTTGGCAGTAAGAACATATTGGTTTATTTGGATTTGCTTTGAAGCATCTATCAAGCGTGTGGCCTGTCATCTTGCAATAAGTACAATAACATCTGTCTCTTTTCTGTGATGAGAAATTCTGGCTTCCTGCCTCTCTGAAATTTCTTCTACTTAAGAATGCCATAGGATCTGAGTTGGGGGGACTTGGATTAGATATTTCCCGTCTCTTTTCTTCTTGTTGAATCAAAGAATACACCTCATTCAGGCTAGAGAATGGCTTGATCAGCAGTATTTGAACCTTAATCTCCCTGTAGTTCTCATTTAGCTCCATTAGAAATTTCATGACCCAGTCCCTTTGCTGGTTTTGAATCACTATCATCAAGCCTCCACACGTACAACTTAGAATACTCTCATAATTCAGCAGCTCATCCAAGAGAATTTTGAGCTTGGAGTAATACGTGCTCATAGAATCCTGGTTCTGCATCAGAATGGTAATATCCTTCTTGATTTCAAATATTCGTGGTGCATTTTGTTGGGAGAATCGCTGCTCCAAATCTAGCCAAAGAAGATGAGCCGTCTCTGCATATATTGTGCTGCTTTTGATGTCACTTGCCATGGCATTTTGCATCCATGTTATGACTGTGTCATTGCATTTAAGCCAATGTTCCATCAATGGATAATTGGGATCCTTTGGTTCACATAGAGTTCCATCAATAAATCTTAATTTATTCTTGATCCTCAATGCCCTCCTTATAGAATGAGCCCAGGAGTACTAGTTGCTGGAATCCAGAACATGAGTAGCTAGCATGAGTGCTTCTCCATCATTGTTGCCAATGTAGTAGGGACTGCTGGGATGAATGGATTCAAGAGGAACAACACCTGAATTTCCTTCATCAGTTTGTGGGTTTAGAATACGATTTAGATTTGCATTTGCATTTGTGGGTGTATTTGATTCTTCCATTTCTGTCTCTGATACCATATCAGATTTGTAATGAAAAGAATTTTGATATTAAGCAATCAAACTGAGGCTGAAATTGAATTCATTTCACCGTGTATGAAATGTACAATGCTGGTTCTAATAAATACAGGAAAAAGGAATCATTTCTAACTAATTTCCTAACAAACTTACATAAAAAATAAAGAAGGAAAAACTGATTTAATTCCACTATACAAAAACTGATCCAACAAATTATCTTCTAGACACTTCTGCTGTTGGTCCTTGTCATTGATCCACGTTGATGCTCTTATTGTTGATTGTACTCCAGCTGACTCAGCAGATGTGCATCTGGTAATTTCAATATAAATTGAGTTAATTTCTTTCTCCCCTTCATGCATATCAGCGATAAATCAGAAAATTTTACTACAAAATAAAGTTCGATAACTTAAAGATAATCAAAGAAATATCCTTTAACATGAAATTAATGTGTAAATTATCTGAAATGAGCTTCGGACGCCAAATTTGACCAATTAATTTGCAAGTTGAGTTGACTCACTAGTGGACCCACGTGTAAGGCAATTTGCCCGACCTCTCTTGTATTTTTAAACTTCAACTTTAAATAATTTAAAAATGTCACGTGCATGTTGAATAATTTTTTTTTTTTAGATAACCATTTTAAAAGATTTTTTTGGTACTTTTCTCGTGTCTAAAATTATTGTCGATTCTATTCCATATAACTCAACTCAGTATATTATATACGTACGTAATCTTGAAAGGGATTGAATAATCATTTTACTTCTATTTTAGTTAATTTTAACCTTTATAAAACACCAAAAATATAATGTGCACGGTATCTATCTCCATGTTGGTCAACATCTTACGAGCTGTGTCAAAGAATGAGAAAATTGACCATAACTAATATTCTAGTCGTAACGTGAAAATCGTTATTAGTATTAGAAGATAAATTTCATACTTGGTATGAATAAGAAATGTCTAGATAATATAATGAATATTATTTAATTTTCTTAATATATTCAATGCTGTTTAATCTTCTCTGTATTGAAAATAAATATTTTTAAAATGGTATTTAAATCGAAATTCAATTTTGCACGAAAGCATCACATCGAACTCCTTTTTTGGTATTTTATAAAAGAAAAATCAAAGAAGGCAACAAATGGGTCAACAAAGCAGCCATTCCATTTTTCATAAAAATTCCAGCGACTGCAATTAGGCAAGCCACTGGAAGATGAATTCAATTTGGATTCTTATATTATAGAAAAAAATGTAGATGGGTCCCCAGCTTTTTGAAAATATAGCAAGATCCCAACCTATAGGTATGGCAATAGAATGAAGGTTCGAGATAGGTATCATGTTCCTCGACCCATATTGATTCCTGATAGGATTAGACAATACTGAAACAAGATATTTTGTCATTCTTACCTACATAATATTTTGACATCATCAACCACCTTCCATTTTAAGTGATATTTGAATAGGGGGTTGCAATGGGCCTCGCTCGTGAAGCTTGGTTCGGCGCATTGGTCAATGAGCCAGGCTAGTCGGTGGATCAAGGGGTCCACTCGATTTATTATTTGTACAAAATATATTTTCCAATAAAGAAATAAAAAATACAACAAAACTATCAAAGTCCAGTTCGACATGACCTAGTGTATAATGAGCCTATGTTGTGCACATGCGGTTAGCCCACTGAGCACCCAAACTTGTTATCGCACCTATATTTGACTTGCCCGGTTGATGATTTTAATTCGTTTTAATAAAAATGAAAATTTTCACTAAAGTTACAATATTACCATTATATTTAATTAAAGTAAATAAAAAAAAGAAGAAAAACTACAGATAAGGGTTTGTGATTATTTCCCATAACTACCCCTTCCTAATTCCTATTAGCAATGGGTCAGAATTTGACTATATTGACTAAGTCCCAGTTTTGACAACATTTAATTTAATTTATTTTTTGTTATAGAATTATTTTCAACTACATATTCACATAATAAAATATTTTACACGTAAATTCATAATTTTTCTATCATTTTCAACCACACATTCTCCAAAAATAATATTCAAAACTAATATTTTTACATTTTAGGCCACCAACTGCACATGCAATTTATTCAATAATAAACTAGTTGTTAATTCTGATTATTATTCCTAGTTCATGAACCAAACAAACACAACTCACTATACATTCACGCTATGTCACTATCCAACCGTTTCCTTTTTCTGTTTTTACAATTCTAGTCTGACACCCATCTTCAGTAGAACAATCAAGAATGATTTTTGGCTTTCTTACAATATCAATTCCTTTACAAGACTCGAAGAGAGAGAGAGAGAGAGAGAGACGGTCTCAGTTTGCAGCCATCCATTAATGGAGCTGAAGAAAGAGAAGTTTGTGAGGTATGTCTTTTTTTTTTGTGGGTTCTTATTATTTTATTAATTCTATCTTTCTAAGAAGAGATATCAGTAGGAAGAAAGAAAAGTAGTGAAAGAAAATGTATATTTGAAGAAAGATTACATTTTTTTTCCTTTTTAAGGTGGAGTTTGGTTTAGTGGAGTTTAAAAGGGACGATCTTTTGCTTCCTTAACTTCAATTTTCTTGTTTATCTGAGAAAATGTAGTAAAAGCACAAGGAAAATACTGAATCGTAGGAATTTTCACTTTATGATGAGATTAAAATCTTAAACTCCAGACTCCAGCCCATTGAACACACTGAAACTACAACGTGGTAGATCTGAAATTCTGTATTTGGTGGTTTAGGGCGATTTAATATAAGGGATTTTAATTTCTGCTGTTATGGGGCTAATTAATTGCTCAGGTTTTATTCTGAAGTAAAACAGCAAAAGGGTTTTACCTTATGGAGAGGAAAAATGGCTCTTCTTCTCTAGAGAAATCATCTTCAGTGTACCAGCTTCCATCCATGTTGAATTCTGATAGGAAATGTAAAATCACCGATACCCCTAAGTTTGGGCGATCCAAGGTCTTCCCTGAGGACCATGAGCCGTGCCACATGCGAATACTTGATCCGGGTAGTGAAATTGTGCTGAAATGGAACAAGGTTTTCATTGTTTCTTGCTTGATGGCACTCTTTGTCGATCCATTGTATTTTTACTTGCCTAGTATAGGAGGGGTTAATGATTCTTGGTGCGTGAAATCAGATGTGAGTTTACGGATTGTCGTGACATTTCTCCGTACAATTGCCGATCTTTTCTATCTGTTGCATGTGGTGATTAAGTTCAGGACGGCTTATGTGGCTCCCAGTTCACGGGTGTTTGGAAGGGGTGAGCTTGTCAGGGATCCTAAGAAGATTGCCCGGAGATATATAAGATCTGACTTCTTGATTGATCTTATTGCCACACTGCCTCTGCCTCAGGTAATTGCTGTTGCAGTTAATCTGGCTTTCTGGATTCTAGAACTCTACCTAATTATGTGTTTTATGCCTAAGCACAAGTCTGGTAATTTTTGTGCTTTATTTTGATATTTGAAATAATTTAAAATATAAGAATTGGTTTCTTTGCTTTACAAATCCCAATACCTGAATACCATGAACTTGTCTCTTTCATCCGGAAAATAATATTATAATATATGTGGTGTTCCTACATATTATTGCTAATATAACAACATAGCTCATGTACGTGTAATTCATCTCCTATCGGATGGTGCACTACTAAGTTAACCCATGAAATTCCTTGTCAAAAGTTTCATGTCTGCAAATTGTACCTTCAAAATGAGAAAAAATAGTAAGTAAAAGATTTTTCTAGTTTACCTGAAAATCAGATGTTTAGTCTCTGCATATAACTATGTTTCTTGTATAACAGCAAGTAGTTGCTGAAGGCAGCTTTGTGGCTTTGAATTGCCAATAATACATCAAGGTGGTAGACTTTCCAAGTTTATGTTAATATTATATAAAGATGAGTTTGAAGAATGTTAACTATCAAATTTAAAAGCTTAAACTATTAGAAAGGGTTCGCATTTGTTTATTTAAATCGTGTATTAGACGCGTTCCCTTAAATCCAGATTAAAATTTTTTTTTATTATTATTATTTTTTGAAGATATATACACGCTCAATTTTCATAGGTGAAAGCGAAACTTCTTCTTTTGGCCTAGTTTTGATACCGTGTTAGCCATCTCGTTTAAAAACATAGCTATTAGAAAGAGATTACACGTATTTATTTAAGCTCCTGTTTGGTAGAGATTAAAATCAATTTTTTAATCGATTTTAATAAAAGTTGATGAAATGTGTGGTTAAAAAGTTATGGGTCCGATAAAATGTGTGGTTAAAATTTATTGTTGACTTTAACTTGAAATTTTAATCCAAACCAAACAGGGCGTAAATCTTGTCTTCAACAAATGATGCTAGAATAAATCTTATTCTAATATAAAGATAAGATGGGTCAGCTACGTGAATAATTTTTCTCCTCTCCATTCAATTCATTGCTAAATGTACTTGAAGATCTAAAATAACTACATCATTAGCTTACATCATGTCATACTAGAATTGGTCTAGCCCCCTCTCTTATTACTTGTTTTACCGTGATTATGTTACTATCATGAACAATATCTTCATTACGTCTATGCAAAACATGGCCTTATACCCAATTCAGTGCACAAGAGTTCTTTGGAAAGAATGCGATCGCTTGCTTAGGGCAATATAATTGAAATATTAAATCTTTGCTTAGGGGATATTCTTCAGTACTTGATCTTGAAGAAGGTGACTCTTTCAAGAATGTAATTCTGAGGAGATGCTCAAAGGAAGAGTTGCAACTTATTTTAGGATCTTAATTTACACCCTATGATGCTCGGACTCGAATATGGGTATCATACCCGGTACTTATCTAAGTGTCGAATCTTTTATTTTCTAAAATATAGGATATGGGGATATGACTAAAAATAATTCAAATTTCGGATACGGGTACATGGACATGTCTTTCAAATTTTAATTTTTTTTTTTACTAATCCAATATGTCATTTTGAATAGACCAAAATCAATTATTCACAAAGAAGGAAATATGTATTGAATAAGGAGTTAAAACGAATAAAATAGAATGTTGGGGTTTTGTTTTCAATTATAGGAATTACTAAATTTTATATAAAATACAGAATGAGGGAATTGATTGCAATTTGAACTTAGTGGAGCACTAAGTAGCTCTATATGGAATCCATTTTCATTTTATACAAACAAAACCCTAAACCAACGATACGGAGAGAGAAATAAGGAAAAATGAAGAAAATTGAAAGAAAGAAGAAGGAAAAGAAGGGAAAGCCTAGGGCCACCACCTTTCTCCACCATCTTGACGGTAACGCTAGATTTATAGAGATAAAAAATGGGAAAGAATAAAAGGGAAAGAAAAGAAAAAGAAAAAAAAAAGAACGAAAGAAAGAAAGAAAGAAGAAGTAAAAACGATGAAGTGTCCAATTGAAACTTGGAAGATCCGACCATATCCTATACCCGTACTCATGTCGCGTCGTCTAAGCAGATTATGATAATTCTTTTTCTATACAAATTTTATGTCCATGCTATTGCTAGCTTTAATATTTTATTGAGTTGTGGTGTGCCGTATTACTAATATATAAAACACAACCTTCAGGTTTGTCTTGATGTTTTTTGGGCTTATTTTATCAAATTTATTACCGTTCAATAAAAATAATCACAGAAGGTATATCTGCCGACTCTGATGCTTTCAGATTAATTCACTTCCCGCAAGTGAACGTAAATAAAGTAGTGAATAGAGTGTCGAACCCACGAGAACTACATGTTTGATCGAGTTAAAATTAATTGCAACTTTAATCGAATAGCAAATAGATTTTGTGATTTTTCTATTCTAATACCTAAATTATCAATTAAATTAATGAAAGTAAGTAAATACGTTTTTCAAATATGTGATATGCATTACTAAGATGTCGAATCCCCCTTGTTATTTCATTTTTAGTTTAACAATTAAATTGACAATTTGAAATCATTTATATTGGTTAATGTTCCTAATTTAATTGAAAGCCTCTCTCGATGAAAGATACAAATATGATAAATGCATTAACAAGTACTAGAACATCTATTGAAACCATATAAAGCATAAATGTACATCTCTATCCTCTATCGAACCTTACAATGTTTATTATAATGTGTTTAAACCTTATTGTCTCTCTCGATAACAATAAAATTCACTAACAATTCAATTGGTGATCAGGCAATTGAAAAGAAAGATTAAACAATAATAAATATCCACAAACCAAATCAAATTAAAGTCAAAATAATTAATTAAAAATTAAAAATATCACAACAAAGGTTCATCTCATCCTAGCAATGTATAAAATTAGCACAACATATTGAAATTACAAGAAATCNCGTCGAAAATACGAGAAAACATATTTAAGTGAAAAGACATAACTCGAATTTTTGATAAATTGAAAAGATGAAGATGAATCTTGAAATCTTGAATCTCTTCAATGGTTTCTTGATGAATCTCCACTTGTGCCTTCTCTTCTTTACCCAAAAAATCAAGTTTGAATCTTCACTTGATTGAATTCTTGCAAACCTTCTTCCATTTTCTCTAAAAAACTGTGAATTCTCCTCATTTGATGATAATAATTGATGAATATTTGAGTATATTATGTCTCTGAGAGGTCCTCAATGTGTATTTTGTGCTGTTATGTATATGTAGGAGTCAAAAATTGGTTGAAAATCACGTTCAAATTGACTTCTAAAAGAGTTCCAATTGAATAAGGAAAGTTGCTTTCGCGCGCAGATTTTTTGTCTTTGCACAGCAGTCAGTATTTTGGCCATAACTTTTTCTTCCGATATCCGATTGAAGCGATTCAAAGTGTGTTGGACAGATAACTCGAAGGGTTACAACTTTGATAGAAATATATGTTTCCCAATTCGGATGTTTACTGTGCCAAAAATGGGTCTCAATCTTCGACTAAAAATCTGGAATATAACTTATGCGATTGGACATTGATTGTGATAATATTTTGATCATATTCTATTTCTTTTTGAATTCAAATTCCATCAAATTGTCTCATAAAAATCTTCCAACTCATTTTTTGGTCCGAACCAACTATTGAATATTGCAATTTGATCCCCAAACTTTGGATTTTGCTATTTTTCACTTCTTTCCTTCAATTTCTCGTCCAACAATGGAGTTTTACTTATATAACATAAAATACAACAATTTATGATATATTTTGTCAAAAGAACTATCAAATATTGCTATTTTAGACCTCGGATGAGTGTATAAAATGCACTTATCATTCACCACCAGTAGTTGCCAGCTTTTACTCCATCCCCTGTATGGCTTAATTGGCTGGTTAATTTTCCTTCAATATTCGCTGCAGTGTGTTACATTGGACATTACTTGTAAACTGTGTATTATTAGGTACTTCCCTATCGAGGGAAGGAGAGTTCCTGTTCACAGTTTTCTGCTGGCAGTTGTGTTGCATGCTTAGTTGTTTATCAGCCTAAATTTATCTTCCCTGTCTCGTTCCTTTGTTCACAATGAGACTAACAAAAGTTAGCCTTACTTGAAAGCCATTAAGTAGCTAAAGATAACAAACTGCACTCTGTGCGCTCGGAGAAATGAAAATCTCGTGCTAATTTCCAAAACGATCAAAACTGCACTCTGTGCGCTCGGAGAAATGAAAATCTCGTGCTAATTTCCAAAACGATCAAATAAGAGAAGCAAACAATCTCCTAGAGTCTTTAGTCTTTGTTCGGCATTTAGAACACTGTAGACCTGTATTATACGTGATTTTTAATGCTAAACCTTTTTTTTTTTTTTTTTTATTCTGAAGAAGGTGACGTCTTATTTTAATTATGCTCTTAATTTATGTTGTTATGGTATTCTATTTTATAACGTATGTGCATTGACTATATATTTTGCAGATTGTCATCTGGTTCATTATACCAGAAATGAGAAGCCGACGAGCTAACCATAATAACAATGCCCTTGCACTGATTGTCCTACTACAATATGTTCCCAGGTTATATCTCATTTTTCCATTAAGTTCAGAAATTATTAAAGCGACTGGAGTTGTCACCAAATCTGCTTGGGCTGGAGCTGCGTATAATTTGCTGCTCTACATGCTGGCTAGTCATGTAAGTCACTCTTCTGTGGAATCATTTCTAGGTCAAGAGTATGTAATTTTGGTTACAACATTGTGACGTATGTCGAAAACAACAAGAGACTAACCATGTTTCCAATCAATTTGGAGTCTGCTAAACAAATCCTTTTTCTCAACTCCCGTTCCAATCAAGAATCTGTTCTTAATTTATCAAGACATCTTTACAGGTCTTAGGGGCAGCATGGTATGTGCTATCAGTCGATCGATACTTGTCTTGCTGGAAATCAATATGCAAGAAAGAAATCAGCCCCGGAAGATGCTTTCTTGAATATTTGGATTGCGACACTTCAAACCATGACGAACGAAGTATTTGGGTTAACACAACGAATGTGTTCAGAAGTTGTGATCCCGACAATGAAAATATTACTTTCAACTTCGGGATATTTGAGAATGCAGTTTCAAAGAATGTTGTCTCTTCAAGTTTTCTTCGAAAGTACTTCTATTGCTTGTGGTGGGGTTTACAGAATCTAAGGTATGACTTCTGCATTATATGTATCTGACAAACAGAGCAAATAATTTATTTGTATTTTCTTGGTTCTCATCCCAAAAGTAACATGTTCTACTGGTTATTTTGTTATAGTAAGCTTCTTACAACTCTTCAACCTTGATTGTGGATGTGGACTGAATCAATTGAGCTAATTGATACAATAGAGTTATTTTTTCAGCACTCGAAAGATGTTTGATAATGATTTACTCTTTTTTTATTTTTATTTATTTTCCATTTTGACAATTATTTATGGTATTCAGTTTATAATATCCAATTGGGTGTTGTCTGGATGTATGCTCTGCATTCAATCAGAACCTCAAGCATCAAATATATTGACGTGTAGCGTGAATGCATTAACTTCAGAAACTAAGTTGGCACATTAATATTTAACTTTATTTGTTTCTGATACTCCAATTTATTATGGAATTACAAAATATCGAATGACAATACTCTAGTTATTTTTTCCCATATTTATACCTTGAAACTAAAAGAAAATTTCAATCTTAGGGGTAACCTTACATTATTTAAACTTTTTTCTATTCTGTTGTTGAATTTCAAAGAGTAAATCTTCAAAACAAAGATGCTAAGCCCCCCAAAAGATTTTTCTATCAAAATGACTTGTCTGAGCATTGAATAAAATATTGCAGCACTTCCTTTTTTAGTCATATTTCTGATTTCTGCATGAAATTTCTAATACATGTGTAACAAAATGTTGAACTAGAAAAATGCTTTTTCTATTTTTTTTAAAGGCTAATTGACGAGTCAACTGAATTTTTGAACCATATAAACGAGAACCTTGGAACATGCCACCAGATACAGATGTTAACTTTGAAAAAGAGAAACCTTAAGAAAATGCTTAAGAAATATTCAACAATTCCAACCATAATTACTAGTAGTGTGCTTAAGCTAGAACCAGCAATGGAATGGTTGCTGAGCGTTATAAGTATCTTCTCTGGTTTTATTTCCTCCAATTTCTACTTTTCTATGTCTCGACTCGCCTCCACATTGCTTTCGTCTCTCTCTTTCCTATTTTTTTATTCTTTCTGGTGGTGGGGTGGTGGTGGACTGTTGAATAATAAACCCGCTGTAATTTCAAGTGAGCATGTTTACAAGTTTTTTTTTTTAATGTGCAAGTACTTGCTGACATGTTGTCACTGGTTTGATTCTTCACTGTTTCTTTATGCCCCTACATATTAAAATTCTCATATTAAGAGAGACCATGAAATGAATGTCACTGGACCATAGGTAGTCTTTCTAGCTCTAGAGGAAGTAGAGTTGATTCCATTTTTTTACCTCTACAAGTTAATTGAAACTGAAGCAACTTATATCAATACATTTCTTTTTATTATTCTCAGTTCATATGGACAAAATCTGTCAACAAGTACATTTATTGGGGAAACGTCATTTGCCATACTCATTGCTATCTTGGGTCTTATTTTGTTCGCACATCTTATTGGAAATATGCAGGTAAGTAAAAAAGTTTTTCCGTTTCTTCCTAAAATTCAGACTCTGTAATGTTATTTATTGGTTGTGGCATATCAAAATGCTCTTCATGGTTTCTGTTAAAGGGTATTTAGGTCTTTTATGTTATACCTAGGATTTTCTAAGGTTTTCCTAACTCTTATTATAAATAGTGGGACGGTCTAACACTATTGTTGAGCCTTCTAATTCTTTTACTTTAACATGGTATCAGAGCAAGGTTATGGGAGATTAATTCCATAAGCTTTGTTCAAACTTTTTTTTTCCTTTTT